GGAAATGCAGAATGAAAAAGAAATGGAAAAAACTTGTGAATGCTGGTACTAACCCCTATGCTCATCCATATAAAGGAGTGAGCCAAGATTATTGGAAGTATTTTATTGACAATATATGGTTGGATCCCAATAACAAGGTATGCTATGACTTAGTTATAAAATAATAATGTATTATTAACAACTAATTGAAATCTTATTGAATGAATGATCAATTTATATACCTATAAACAACTGTAATCCACTCGTTTGTCTAACTACCTTCACTATTACAGCTGTACCTACACATGGTTGAATCTAACAAGTATTCTAGTGGTTGTGTGTAACATACTCGCATGTGCACATGCTTGTGTTGTGGATGGTGCTTGCGCTGAGTTGAACTGCTTTGGTTGTGGTTGCTACAATTGCTACAGCTACGGCTGTGTTGAACCCCTATGGCATTTTTACTGAGTACTCTTATCAATAATAACTACATATGTGACAATTATTTTAATTTGTCCATATAGAGTCGCTATGACACCGGCAAACTTAATAAGAGCAAACCTACAATCACACTAGTGGCTCTCGATCTTTTCGAGTGGCAATGAGCATTACAGTGAGATGTATTTCATTGATTTTATTAACTTTATCCAGACTTATTTGATATGTTATCATAATAATGAAGGAGTATTGATCTTGATGTTTGGCATTTCACAAGCGAAGGAAAATGGTAGAGTGTTGTCAAATATCTATGATTTCTACAAGGACACTCCTCAGACCAAGAAGACAAAATAGTGGATTGATCATATATGCTATGATTCACACGCAAATATTAAACATTAGTAACTATTGTGTTTGACTTATATTAATAATATTTATATTTTACAATTACAAGAAGAGATGATGACAGTGTGGGATGAGTCTATCGAGTCTGGAACACCGATGATGCAAGAGGATATATCAAACTATGTTCTTAGGAAGAAGAAAGGATACTTAAAAGGATTTGGAGTCAGACCAAAGCCTTATTCATGTGATCTTGGGTTGAATGCTACATCACAAGTACGTGAGGTGCAATTGAAAAGGCTTACATCCGAGTCAGAGATACTCTGTGAAGAGCAGTATAAACACCAAGAGGAACAATAGAAAAAGAAAACGGAGCAACAAATAAAAGAGGTCAAGCATGCAAGACAATGTGAGGAGAAGCAGAGACAGATTTTTGGACTTCAGAGCATGTTGGCACAAGTTTTAGAAAATGGTGGCCACTAGATTCCCCAATGTAGCTAGTCATAGTATTGGGTAAGTGTGTTAAACCAGATTTCAAAAAAATTATGTTCAAAGTAAAGGCCGTGATGAACTCGAAGACGTTTGGGGGTGAAAATTGGAAATAGCCCCCAGATAGCCCTGAGATCATCACATTCACCTTGGACTAGGTTAAACAAACTTGTGAGAATAAACGGCGCGTCAATAAGGCGCACAATTAGAGATTTAGACTAAAAAATATAAGAAAAAAAAAGGCGAAAATGGGCTTTTTGGGGGCAAAAAAAATGTAAACAACTCCTAAACAACCCTGAGATCGTAATGGTCGCCTTGAACTAGATTAAACAAACTTGTGAGAGCAAGAGATGTATCGATAGAACGCACGGTTAGAGATTTAAACTAAAAATGTGAGAAAAAAAGGAAAAAATTGGAAACAGTTCCCAAACAGCCCCGAGATCATCATAATCACCTCGGACTAAATTAAACAAACTTGTGAGAGCAAGCGGCGCGTCGATAAGACTCACAGTTAGAGATTTGGACTAACAGTATGAGGAAAAAAGGCGAAAATTGGTCGTTTGGTGGCGAAAATCGGCCATTTGGCAACGAAAATCGGAAATAGCCCCAAGTAGCCCTGAGATCATCACGATCACCTCGGACTAGATAAAAAAAACTTGTGAGAGCAAGCGGCGCGTTGATAGGATGCACGGTTAGAGATTTAGACTAAAAATGTGAGAAAAAAAAGGCGAAAATTGACCGTCTGGCAATGAAAATTAGAAATAGACCCCAAATAGCCCTGAGATCATCACGATCACTTCGGACTAGATTAAATGAACTTGTGAGAGCAAGCGGCGCGTTGATAGGACACACAGTTAGAGATTTGGACCAAAAAATTTAAGGGGAAAACAGACCGTTTGAGGGCAAAAATTGGAAACAGCCCCAAGATCATCACGATCATCTCAGACTAGATTAAAAAAATTTGTGAGAACAAGTGACACGTCAATAGGACATACAATTAGAGATTTGAACTAAAAAATGTGAGAGAAAAAGGCAAAAATGGGTCGTTTGGCGGCGAAAATTGAAAATAGCCTTGAGATCATCACGGTTACCTCGGCCTCGATTAAACAAACTTGTAAGAGCAAGCAATGCATAATAAATGCTTAACTTCACTATAGATGTTTGTCCCAATGTTGCCTATTTTGAGGTGGAAACCTACTAAGTCAGTTACTAAGACTCACACCCACTAAAGTTGATGTCGCTTAGATATGACTTAATGCTTCCATCAATAAGGACTGAGCTTTAGGAATTTTCAAGAGATTTGTGCTTATCCATAGGCATGATTGCTTGTTGCCCGAACTACTCTGGTTATATCATCCACTTGGAGTTACTTCATCGATGTTGTTTTAATGGCATTTCAAGCTTCAAAGTACCTCTTATACATCTATTATATATATATATATATATATATGTATATTGTATTTAAATATCATGTAACCTGCAAGTCATAGTAGCTAACTTGGTAGATCAAATATTCATTTATATTGTCCAGTTATTGCCATATGAGATATAAAAGTCAGATGCAAGCATTGATTGAGAAACTAAATGTATGGTCTGACCTGTGCGCGACTATAGGGGCTTTCTCCTAGCTGGCTTTGTGTAATTAGACACAACCATGTTATTTTAGTGAACATCTTCATGTGTTTGGACTCATGTATATGGAAAGATCAAGAATCATTTCACTGTGCATATAATGCACTTTAAATATATGTATAAATATTATGAGATATTGCTTTAGCGAATATTTCACACAGAGGATGACTATGGAAGACTCTGCCTTGTAAACCTTTAGATAATTAATGAAATTTTTTATTTGTGTATGTTTATTGGACAAGCTTTGTGATAGAGATAATGTTTCAATTGTTAAAATTATGATACCCACTATGGAAAGTATTATTTTAAATATGGAGAATCTTTTATTGATTGAAAGAGAATTTTTTATTGGTCATAGCAAATGTATAGACAAAACTTTTTACAAGCTTGTGAAGACTTGATCAATGTGGAGTTTGTTTTCTATTTTCTATACCATTTAATCTACAGGTTATATATCTATTAGTAGTGTAATTTTTGTGGTGCATTTGATATTGATAGAATTATAATGTTGATTGGATATATACATATGAATGATGTTGTTTTATTTATAAAATGGTATTGATAATCCTTTAATTTGTTTATGTTACATTTACTTTCCATGGACCTTTTTCATTTTTTTGTTCAATTTTACAATCATTTAATATGCACAAATTTTCACAAAAAAAATTACCTAACATTATTTTTCTTTTTCTTTTGTACAGATGGATGAACTTATGCATGAAGTTGAATTGTACAGACTAGTTGGCACTTGTTACATTTTTTGAATGATTATATATTTTTGGATAGATGTGTATGGAAAATATTTGAGTAACTACTAGTTATATTTTTTGATAGATACGTATGGATAAAAATTTTAAATATAATAATCAGTACTTGTTATGTTTTAAATTTTTATTCTAGATGGGTGTGAATTGAATGATTATATATATTATATGACATTTTGAATAATTACGTAGTTTGGAATTACTTCTGAATGAAAAGTTAAAATATTTGACAACTTTAATTAAAAATGTTAAAGATTAGATGATTTATATATTTTGTTTGATGTTCATGATTTATATATTTTGATGGTTTGAATGATTGTTGCGACTTACAGGTTATACTGAATGGATCGGATGGATTATTATTATACCATATAAATCAAATGGTATCAAAATAATATTTTATTTGTATTTTGATAAACAAAAAGAATTGAATTAGCGATCAAAATTTGGTTTGATTTTTCCTCTTTTGGCGACCAAGCGATTGATCGGAAAAAATAGGCGACCAAGCAATTGATCGGAAAAAATAACTAATACTTTTGCTAACTAAAGTTGTTAGTCGGTATTTCACCATTCACATTTGGTGACCAAAATGTTAGTAGGTGAAAAGGTACATTTTGGAACTAAATAATTAGTCGGTAAAATTATTAATTTTGGCAAACTAAATTTTCGGTCAGCGAATAGGTGTATTGCTGACTAAATATTTAGTCACACAAACATTGTTTGGCGGCTAACATTTTTTGTCGGGGAATGGTACAATTAGCAACTAATATATTTAGTCAGAAAAATAATACTTTTGACGACTAATATTTTTTAGTTACAATACACTTTAGTCGCAGTAGTTATATGTTCAACGATCAAAAATTTAATCGGTAAATATGCTATTTTTCTCGACTAAAAAATTTTTTAGTTACAAATCACTTTTGCCAAACATGTATTTGTGATCAAAGTAGCTGACTAAAAAATTTGATCGCATAAGACTTTTATCGGTTAAAAATACACTTTCTGTGACTAAATTTTTAATCGGTAAAAATGTAATTTCTTGGAAAATATCTTAAAATATTTGTCTATTTTTTATTTTGAAATATTAAATTTTTAAAATTTCCACTTATAAATCATTATAAACACATTTTGTTTTATAATTCAAAAAAAAATAATGATAAAAGAATATTTTAAAATTTAAATTTAAATATAATGATTGTATACTACCTTAAGTTGATTTTTTTACAATGGAGAAATAAATTGGGCCGAATAGTCTTTTCAATTATTCAATGTCACAAACATAAAAAAATTATTATGGGTCTCAAAAAAAAAATCAAGTCCACTTGATCCAATTTTTGTGCATACATGGTTTGCAAATTGCAAGTGATGTTTTGGTTAATTTATATATATATATATATATATAGAGCAATACACCAAGAAGATTACAAGACATCTTATTTTTACCAAAAACGAAAATAAAAACAGAAGAAAATCTATAGGTACGTACAGAAAGAAAGCAAATCAGAGCCCTTTGGATGATTCAGTCATCACTGATGAATCTTAGAGGCCTCGAGATCGGCGGCTTTCTTGAGGAGGTTCTTATCATCGTCCTCGAGAGCCATCTGGATGGGAGAGGAGCCGAGTCCATCGGCAATGGCAAGCATGATCTTCTTCATCTCAGATCGGAACTCCTCCAGATCGATCGTACCGCTCTTGTCGCAGTCGAACTTGTCGAAGATGGAGTCGTAGAGCTTCGTCAGCTCCTCCGGCGGCGTAACCACGTCCACGCCGAAGTGGGTCTCTATAAGCCGGAACGACTCGAACGCCTTACGAAGCTCCAATCGAGACAAAACGCCGTCGCTGTTCAGATCTACGGCTGCGAAACGCTCGTCCACGCTCTTCTTGAACTGTTCTTCGTCTTCCACGAAGGATCGGACCGTCGAGCCGTCTATTATCACCACTCCCATCTCTCTTTCTCCTTCTCTGTCTCTCTCTCTCTCAGTTGAGAGTGACAAATATATACAAAATAGATAAGAGTGAGATTGTTAATTCTCAACCATACAATTGGGGAGAGTGCTTTATTACTATAAAATAGTCTATCTTACAGCATCTATAAGAGTCTTTTTAAATTTTTAGTCCAATTAGAGTTTAAAAACTTATTTTACTACGCTAAGATCATCTCCAACGGTTCATCAAATTTGGTATCAAATTTAAAATTTGATGAAAAAATTACTTTTTTGAGCTCCAACGGTTTCACTAAATCGATATCAAATCTAAAATTCAGCAAATCTTTTATCAAAATGAGAACAGACGAAGCATTTTACCAAATCATTGTTCCTAACCATTGGGAGAGACCAACCGGTCAACCAGCCGGTTGCCCGACCGGTTGACCAACCAGTCGACCGCCTAAAGGTTCAAACGGTTCGAAGAAAATGTTCAAACAGTAAAAAAAAAAAAAAAAAATTTTGCCTAACCGGTCGACCAGCCGGTCGACCACTAAAAGGTTCAAAAAGTTCAAAAAAAAAATTTGCTTAACCGGTCGACCAACCGGTCGACCAACAGATTGTCCCCGACACAAATTTGATGAAAGTGCACCGTTGGAACGAGTGGGTATCAAATTGGTAAAATGAGTCATTTTTTACTCAAATTTAATGAAAAATCTGATTCACCGTTAGAAATGCTCTAACTAGTTATCTATTCTATTATATCAAATTTTTTATTTTAACTCCATCTAATTAAAACATTATTTTATTATTATATTTTTTATTTTCTTGTTAAATTAATGAACAACCAACTAAACAATTTCTAACGAAAAAATTATCGTTGACCAATTGACGGACATCTGGCCAAACTTCAAACACACAACCAGCGTGTTGTAGCTTCATCTGAGAAGGTACTGTAACGCTAACAAAATGAATGAAGGATATAGCGACACTTACAATGGCGTCAAAGCTATTGCAGAGACGCTAATGTTGATGAATTTAAGAGTTCATCTATGAAAAATCTGATTTACCGTTGGAGATGCTCTAACTAGTTATCTATTCTATTATATCAAATTTTTTATTTTAACTCTATCTTATTAAAACATTATTTTATTATTATATTTTTTATTTTCTTGTTAAATTAATGAACAACCAACGAAACAATTTCTAACGAAAAAATTATCGTTGACCAATTGACGGACATCTGGCCAAACTTCAAACACACAACCAGCGTGTTGTAGCTTCATCTGAGAAGGTACTGTAACGCTAACAAAATGAATGAAGGATATAGCGACACTTACAATGGCGTCAAAGCTATTGCAGAGACGCTAATGTTGATGAATTTAAGAGTTCATCTACACCTTTTTTTTATAATTTAAAAACTTAAAATAATATTTGTTAACAGTTTAAAAAAATGTGTAGATAACCCCTAATAAGATAAGGATTTCAATTTTATTAATTTGGAGTTGGTAAACTTATTTTTGAGGTTGAAGACATCAACAATTCAAATTATTTATTTCATTTCATAAAACCAAACATTCTATTAGATCTAACAAGTGGCAAAAGACAAAATTAAAAGGAAAAAAAAAAATACGTAAGCCTTATTAAACATTAAAATCACAAGTTCTAACTGTATATGAAAATTGAATGATCTAAAAGCAATCAAAATTATTAAAATCACAACTTGGGTTGAGTTAAATTTGGAATTTAAAATTATTTTAATCACAAAAAGAAAAAATAAATTTTATAACTTCATAAAATAAGATATCACATCAAATTTATAATCATTATATTCTTTCTCACAAAAAATTAAAAAAACCAAAACACCTATTTCAAAAGTTAAAAAAAACCAAAAAACCTATTCCAAAACAAACCTTTTTAACCTCAGGTTAAAATAACCAAAATATTAAAAATCCAAAAATCAATCCACTTTCCAAACACATAAATTGTTGCCTAAATTGACAGAAATGGTAAGACAGTAGTGTAGGGGGCGTGCTTGTTCAAAGAGCCGCAAGAAAAAAGAGAACCCAAAAGTCATAATAATAAAATGAAAATTTACATTATTGCCTTTTGGCTTCATATTCTTCTCCAAACCCGTCAAAACCATAACCCTAACCAATCACTCCTCATAACAGCCTCGCCCAACAACCTCACCCATGATTGTCACCTCTTACGCCAGGCAAAAATGCCAATTTCAACTTGGAAAGCAAAGTAGATAATTCTGCAAGAGTACATCAAGACCTTGAACTTGGACGGCAAAGTAGACAGTTTCAAACTATGAATTCAACATCCTAAATACACAAAAATATTTGCATATTGTATTGATGTTTATGTAAAAATGCACTATATATAATGGGTGTTCAAAAAATTACTATTTTAGTAAACTATTTTAGAAAGCTAAAAATTATATTTGAAAAAATAATTAATTTTTTTTATAATTAAAAATAATATTTGTGAGAAAAAAAAATAAAATAATTATAAATTTAATATGCAATCACTCCTCATAACAGCCTCGCCCAACAACCTCACCCACGATTGTCACCTCTTACGCCAGGCAAAAATGCCAATTTCAACTTGGAGAGCAAAGTAGATAATTCTGCAAGACTACATCAAGACCTTGAACTTGGACGGCAAAGTAGACAATTTCAAATTATGAATTCAACATCCTATATATACAAAAATATTTGCATATTGTATTAATGTTTATGTAAAAATGCACTATATATAATGGGTGTTCAAAAAATTACTATTTTAGTAAACTATTTTAATTTTTAACTATTTTAGAAAGCTAAAAATTATATTTGAAAAAATAATTAATTTTTTTTATAATTAAAAATAATATTTGTGAGAAAAAAAAATAAAATAATTATAAATTTAATATGACATTTTGTCTTATATATTTTAATCTATTTTGTCTTTTAATATTATTTTAATCAAAAAAACTAAAAAAACTCCTTCCCAAACACCCCCTAAACACAAAAACGATGTACCTTAACACGCATAAAAAGCCTATAGCTTAGACAATTATGCAGGACCAAACGTCTCTGCCTCATCCTCGTTTGCGCATGTACCCAGTTTGGAACCAAAAAAATTTGCACAAAATATTAGGCAATTTTACATTGAAAATTGAGTCAACATTAAATTCATTAAATTGAGTCAATTGAGTCAACATTAAATTCATTAAATTGCTAACTTAAGCACGGCTAAAACACCCCTCTAAAAAAAACTTAAGGCTAAAACATGTGTTGAATTGCTGACTCGAGTACAAGTCAACATTAAATTTAGGAAGTAACCTATAATAGTGTATCCTTTTTTCAATAAAAAGGCATAGAGGCACTCAACAACACAAAAGTACAAAATGAGTAACAATAATTCTAATACAATTCTACTGCATTTGAAAAGATCTTTAATAACTAGCAAAAAAATTAAAACTATAAACATAAAAGGCAAGTCAGAATATCAATAAGCATTATATATTGGAGGCTCACAAAAGATTTTCTCCTCTCACATCTATATAGATTCATCATTCTTGCCAACTCTTGGACTTCGATTTGGTTGAACTAAAATGAAAGGAACATATCACACTAACGCAAAGGGAAAGTTTCCAACATACCCCCGGCTTTTCCAAAAATATTTTCCAAAACTCAACTATAACAAATTTATTAAAAACTCATTAAAATCACATAAAAAATAAAAATAAAAATAAAAACAAAAGAAATCCTAACACTGTGGTAAAGCCACAATATCAATAAGGGAAAAAAAGTTGAGACCCCATTTTTCCTTAACTCCCACCACCCCCAATCTATTGCAATTTGCCAACTTTTCATTTTTTGTTTTACATTTCTTTTTTCCTTCTACCACTCACAGACCTGTATATGTGGGTATTGTGTCTTTGACCCCCACAACCCCCAGTGACTGATACGAAGAAAAAAAAAACAAAAAACAAAAAATTGACCAATCTCAATACATTGGGGGTGCTGGAGATCAAGGAAAAAAAAGGTCTCAGCTTTTCTCCCATTTATGAAACCCACAACAGATAAGTTCCAAAACTCTGAAATCTAGGAAATCAAAGGAATTGAGTGTCCCCCCACCTAGAAGTCAAGACATTTCACAATGAATTTTTGGAGTTAAAAATCCCAATAATTGAGACACTCAGAGATAAAAATAGCACAAAAACTATGTACCTCAGAGTCAACAAATAGGCAGATTCAGCTCCAAAAGTGTTTGAAATGCCTCAAAAGAAGCATAGATGGGGGCAAGAGGGAACTCAAAAGGAAAACCCTGAAGAGAAACCCCAACATATGTATACACATACATGTAAGTGCACGTGTATACATACAGTTGATATAGCGTAGCTATGACTCAAAACGCTTCCATGTGTTGAAAGAGGAAGACGATCTTAAGGGCTGCGCATAAATATAACAAAACAACAAGAACAATTACTACACCCTAAGATTCAGGATAGCCAAAACATATAAATATGAGTGTTTCGTGTGTGCATAAGGGAATATACATCAGAAGAATTTTAGATGAGACAAAACATAAATCTTCAACCATGCCTTTGAATATGAAACCCTACCCAGTTCTGCTGACCACTGGTGCACAACCACCACATAATACTGCCACTCCCCACAATATTTTCATGTCCACAGCAACCCCAACCTCCTCTTTCCATTGAACACCACAACCACTGCTGATGAAGATAGGGAGATAGGGAGAGGAATGGAGCAGAGGACATATATATATGTGTGTGTGACAGATATAATGTAATGTAAAATAATCAATCTTATTTATTTTAAATACAAACAATAATTTTAACATTTTAAAAATTCTGTGAATTAACAAAAATTACTAGTAGTTTTGAACAGTGTGGATTAATTTGGTACAAATTTCACACAGGGAAGTAATTGTAATTATACTAAGAATGGCGATAATTGTAGTTTTGTAAAACCACAAGGTCATAGTAACTTACACAAAAAATACACTTGCTTGCTCACAATAATGGTTTGATAGACAATGTATTAATTTGCTCCTAGGGGTTCAGGCAGTGCTCATCTATAATGACAAATCATTGTAGCACTTGCCTTCAAAATGATTGCGGAATACATGCTATGGGATCAAGTTGTTCTGTTTTGTTACTCTAATTCCATTCACATCCAAATGAAGGAACAAGAGCCACAAAAGTAGGGAAAAAAACACCAAGGAAAAATGGAATACAAAGCCAGATTTTGTGAAGCCAATTAATTTGTTTCATTTTTATATTTTTCAGATTCCTATGCTAAACAAATTGTTACGCCAACCATATAAATATGGCAAATAGTAATTAAGAAGACATGGCAAAGTTACCCCGTTTTGATTTTCATAAACCTACCACTCCCTCTTCAAAGAAAACCATCAGTGGTGTTGAACATTACATCAGTGCTAACAACAAGCACGTCAGATGACCGTCGTAAGAGATTTAATCAAAACTCATCATTTGGCTTCCTTGTTTCTAGTAGTTACAACCCCTTTCCCTCAACCCCAACTCAAAATAGAATTAGGAAGATGCATCTAGCAATATTCTGAAGTTCAAATCACTCAAACCAAACAAAGTGTAAATGTTGTTTCAAAGATAATAGTGTCCTAATAAAACATCAAAATTGGTGCATGTCTTTCTCAAATTCAATACTATTAAATCACAAGTGGGGTAAATACTCTAAAGTTTAAATCACTCAAACCAAACAAAGTGTAAATGTTGTTTCAAGGATAACAGTGTCCTAATAAAATATCAAACTTGCTGCATGTCTTTCTTAAATTCAATACTATTAATCACAAGTTGAGTAAATAATCTAAAGTTTAAATCACTCAAACCAAACAAAGTGTAAATGTTGTTTCAAAGATAATAGTGCCCTAATAAAACATCAAACTTCGTGCATGTCTTTCTTAAATTCAATATTATTAATAACAAGTGGAGTTCAATTGCCTACATGAAATTCAGTATCAATAAAAAAACTGTAGTGCTAAATATTGAAACATATGAGTGCATTAGCCTGGTGAAAACAAATACTTGGCAAATGCCAGCATCTCAGGTTCACGTTGTTATTGGCAACATACAGCGCTGGATACGCTATGGAGAAAGAGCGCATCAGAGACTCTAGTTTGTTGCCCCTAAAAGCACCATTCATTGTCCTACAGCAAGATTTTACATTCAATAACTATAATATGATAACAATAACAAATTGGAAAATTCTACCTATTCTAACTAGTTTGCAATCTAATCTCAAAGTAAAGTTCCATCGTAGAAATCAAATGAAAAATTTCTCTCTATTCTAACCAATTTGTAAACCAAATCCCAATAGCTGCAAGGAAGAATATTATTTTAGCGTAAATCTAATCACAAAGTTTCAATGCAGAAATCAAATTCACTATCAATATGAAGAAGACAACAACAACAACAAAACAAAAAAAAAGATTATGAAATGCTAAATATTGAAACATCTGAATGCACAAGCCAAGTGAAAGAAAAAGCCAATGCCAGAATTCCGTTTCATTTTGTTATCGGCAACGTACAGCGCTAAAAACACCATGGTGAGGGTGCATCAGAGACTCTAATTTGTTGCCCTAAGGCTGCATTTGGTTCAAGAATTTGGAAATATTTTCAAAAAGAAAAATGAAAAAGGTGCATAAAATTAGATAAAATATATTCCCCATTCCCTTTTCAAATCCCTCTCCAAATTCTTAAATCAAACACAGCCTAAATGCATCATCCATTATCCTATAGCAAGAATTTCCATAAAATAAATATAATAACAAAGACAAATAGAAAACACCTGACAAATTCGTAAACCAAATCGCAATAACTACAAGAAACACAATATTACTTATTTTAAACGTAATCAGAAATGAAGATCCATTGCAGAAATCAAATTCCTCATCAAATATCGAAACATCTGAAGGCAGAGCCAAGAAAAAGGCAATGCCAGATTCAGATTCAGCTTCATTTTGATATCGGCAACGTAAAGCACAGAAAACGCTATAGAGAGAACGCATCAGTGACTCTATTTTGTTGCCCTAAATGCATCAAAGTCTTATTATCATCCATTTGCACCAAATAAAACAAAAATCCAAACAAAAACAGTAAATTATTCATAAAAATTTCAAAAAAAGGCTCAGAGAATAATGATTTGTTCACATCAACAGGCTTTATAGCTTTCATAGTTTGATGGTATAATTTTCATCGTCACTGCCTCCAGAACCATTTTTCACAGTGAAATTGAACACGCAAACATCGAAAATATGCCTCAAAATTACAACTAATCATTGGAATACAGATAGATACATCTGACCTTGCAGAATGATCATGAGATCTCCAGCCTCCGTGACCGTTGAGAATGAAGAGAAGTGATTGATGTCATGGCTGTAGTTGGAGCATAGGGGGGATTATATAGGGAGGCGAGGATGACAACCAAACCCTAATTTTTCACGCGATTTGATATTACTAGGATGCCCTCGAAAGCTTCAGTAACTGCGTCTCCAATCCAACTATTATTATTTTCTCTTATCAAATTTAAATTTAATTAAAAAAAATTAATTTTAATATTAACATTAAATCAATATCAAATAAAGAATATCTTATATTTTTTATTAAATTGAGAATATCTAGAGTTTTTCATCAAATTATTAGAGGTAGCTGTTTGCTTTGTAGTTATACAAAAGCACTAGATGAATTGATCGGTTGATTGTCTCTCGAACACCCACCTCCTTGCAATTTACTATAAATAGTTTGTTTTCAGAATTTAGACAATTTGCACTGGTCAGTTGATTGATCGAACATCTCCCGATCATCCTCCTAAGCGACTAATACTTTGATAAAAATTCAAAATTTTTCATTGAAACGGTTGATATTAAGTAAAACTTTTACTCAAATTTAATAAAAAAATATAATACCCGGCAACCCACCAAGCAAAATGGCCTAAAAATTAAAATGTCAACAAAAACTATTTGTACATTATTTTTATTTTCATTCACTTCATTTTTTATACCTTATTTTTAGGAAAATTCAAACATAAATTCTATATAAGGAATGTTGATCCATTTAGCTTTAAGAGTTTTTTAAAAAATTAATTAGTCTTTTTTGTTTTGAAAAGTTGTATTTATTTAATTTGGTATCATTTGAGTTTAAGTGAATGCGTTTTTGTAATTCATTTTTCTAATTTTCTAATTTGTTTTTGGGATGGAAATGAAAAGGTGAGGTGAGGAAATTTCTTTTTTTAGAATATTACGTTGTTAAGTTTGAGAAAAGTATGGAGGTTGAGTGTCCGTCAATGGTGTAGGGTGTTCGGGTCAGGCGTGGGGCTCAAGAGTGTATCGGTGTTTGAGTCAGACGTGGGGTGTTTCAAGAGTGTATCAGTGTAGCAGTGTGTAGCTGTGTTTTAGGTGGGAGCTCAAGTGTGTGGTTTATTTTATTTATTTTTTTGTTGTATTTTAAAATTTAAAATCGTGAGGCTTAGGGGTTGGTTGTAAGAACGCGAGTAGCAGTAGTGGGAGAGTGAGTATTTACTCTTCGAATCTCTCTCATTGCGTTTTATTTCCTTGTACCTGTAAATTTCATGTTTTTAATTTGTCTTTGCCGATCAACAAAAAAAAAAAAATTTGAGAAAAGTACACTAAGAAATTTTTTAGCGTATTACATTGGAGTGTTACACTTGAGAAAAATATATTAAGGAGTTTTTTTTTTTTGAAATGTTACGTTTAGTAATTTCAATATTATGAGAAAACTCACATTTATCCCTCAACATGTAACATGCGCACATTTATACTTGGCGTTTTATGTAATTCACATTAGAATGAAACATATGGATCCATAAGAAAAAAATAGTGAACCAAACAGTTTATAAGATTGCTATTTATTATTTCTTGATGTTTCACCCTTATTTTTATTAAAAAAAATGTTATTCTAAATATATTAATTTTTTTATCTCATATTTTAGTCAAAAAAATTATTAAAAAAACTTGTTCTTCACTGATCCCTAATTTATTTTTCGTTCTACTATTTAAAAATAAATAATAAGTCATTCAAGAGTAATTAATAATATTTTATTACATTTGACTTCAAATTTTTTGAATTATTATTTTGTGTATAAAAATATAAAATAGATTTATAAAGTAATTATACACAAATTTAAAAATCATTGAAACATTTAGTAATAAAAAATAGGAGAAATTACCTATAAATCTCAAATTAGGAAATGATAATCCATTTAGTCCCGTGTTTTTTCTTTTGAACCATTTGGTCCTATTTAATTGGTAAAGAATATTTTCTTTTGATTTGGCATGGGCGGAGTTTACACATTTACCCTTGTTATGATTTTAGTGGATTCTTTTTTACTCATTTGTGTGTAATGATTGAGATGGTAACATTTTACATTTCCATTTTTGTGTGTTTGATTTTTGTAGAGTGATATGCAGTGGATGGGTTTCAATTGCTGATATTATTTTCTTCATTGACATCAATACAGTTAATATTACATTTTTACTACCACAAATGTTATTAGCATTCCATATCACCACCAACATCCATACACTCAAAAAATAGGGGAATGGGTGGTAGATTACAACACAACAAATCAAAAAAATAATACTGACACTACACTTCATTAACATTGATACAGTTAACTTTACATTTTTATTACCACAAATGTTATTAACATTCTATATCACCACCAATATCCATACACTCAAAAATAGGGGAATGGGTAGTACATTACAACACAACAACAAACCCAACACAACAAATGGCATTAACATTACACTGTTGCCAATCCCACAGGAACCCCAAACTGCAAAGGCACACTAACACACCATCATGTTACATTTATCCGACGCTCGAGTAGCGCCAATGTCAGTGTTTGCTGTGTCTACTTTTGTGTCTATTTCGACATGCTCTCTAGACGGTGAATCCAGTTTCCAGCAATCAAAACTAGCCTCGATCCCTACACCGTCAACACCCTCAACGGTATTCCCATCAAACATCAAAACCGACTCCACATCTAGCATATTCTTTTTTGATTTAGTATGCTTCTCCTCTGCCACCAACATATTTAGTTTGTAACGTTCCATTATCGTCCCCGATAGTTTTTTATTTTTAACCTGCCAATAAACAAAACAAATTCCATTTCATTTACAAAAAACCTGCAGAAATTAATAACAATACAATTACGTAACATCATACCATGATCAAACTTCGGTCTGCCAAATCTAAGCCTTTCTTATTCGCGATGAGTGTCGTAATGTTTCACCTACAGAACCTTAGGAACACATTTCGTCGCTCCAGGTCTATGATGTTGGTATGTTCACACACAAAAAACTGTAAAAAAAATAAAAATTAAAAAACCAAACAAATATTTACAAAATCGCACAAATGCCAAACGAAAAGCATTACGTTTGCTAACACATGTACATAACATATTACAATCTTAAACGTCTTACGAGGCATGACAATGCAACTTACTAGCGTAGTCATTCACATTTTATTCAAACAACATCAACACCTTCACCTAACAAGGGGGGCCCAAATTCTCAAACATAATGACCAGACCGACATATTACACACTATCGACATTGCACCTCACAGGCATACCAACGGTGTCACACTGTATGTTACATCGGTATCTTTATCACTCCACATTACGTCTACAATGCAAACACATCATTTCAAAAGTTACACAACCCAATGTGGAAAACGTCGTTGATAACATCCACTGGTATCAACACCATGAACAAACTCAAAAAACCAAAGACATGACCATCAAAGCAATGCAATAAACAACAAGGACATCTAACCAGAAAGGGTCTCATCCCCATCTTTTAATTACACAACACACCCAATACCATGTATGCAATCGCACAAAATTGACATACACAACATGTGGATAAAACTCCTATAGACGTGAACATCAGGACTCCAACATACCAACATAATGTTTTTAAAAAAAAAACCAAGGGACACTACACGATATCAAACAGAAAAAAATTACAAACCCACAAAACAATTTTCACAGACCAACATGCCAGACGGAGCATTTGACATTACATTAATACCAGTATTCAGCACAATCATCTAATGTTACCCACCTACACCTACACAGCACACCACATTGCAAACCACCATCACAAACAAATACCTGGCATCATTGTTTAACACCACAGCTGTCGACTAATGTGGAAAGCAGGATATGAACAAGTCTTTATTACGTCGTCGATGTCGAATACAACGTCAATCGATTAAACATAGCACCGAAACAACAGTAGTGACACACTTGAAGGAAAGGGGTTTTGTATTTCTAGGGTTTTTGATGAACCATAATGTTAAATTGGTTCAATCAAACATCATTATCCAACGTTACCAAAATCAAATGGGGAACAAATTGGCAAAATTCCCTCGTCCCAACATTACAAACAAAGAACCTTCCATCTTCATCACACTGGTTTTGCGAATATGTTGCTTTCTAAATCAACCAAAACCCATACTTAATGCCATCGTAGAACAAATCCAACGTTGCCTTTGATACACCGACGAACTACACACACTGGAAACCAGTCGTCAAAGTATACCAAATCGATTACAACAAACGTTGATTCGTAATTCCAAGGTTTCAATGACCCAAATAACAAATCGGAAACTCAGAATGACGATTAAACATTACCAAACCCAGCAACGTGATTGAATCCCATTCTCACTAGATTAACATTGCAAATCTGCTATTTTTCCATGTCAATCTCTTCCGTGGGTATCGCAATGGAGGGAAAACAAAAACAACCTATAGTAAGCTTTATTGGGTAGAAATGTAATTTTAACATTGTTCAATCCCTAGAATACCCACAAAATCTAAACGGCACACGCTAACATCACGTGCAAATAGGCCATTTTATCTCCAATGAGACTTATCAGTCCATAAGATTAAACACAAGACTAAATGGTTCACAAGGTCTTATTTTGGGATTTATTGGTGCATTGCCTAAAAAACATTTAATTTAATAAGTAGTAAAAATAGAAATTTATCAATTTAATGTATAGTTAAAATTAAAAAATTAATCAAAATCAATACAAATTAATATATTATTAACTAGGGCACATAAATGAATTATGCCAACAAATTTTATAAAATTATATTTATTCATATATTTTTTTGACAACTTTACGTGTTGATTTACATGTTTCCAACATTGTTGTTCTGGATTATACTTTAAGAGTTCCATTATTTTGATTTTAAAGCCTTCATTTGGGTTTAGATCTGGATTAGCCTCTTTTTACTCTTTATTTTCTTCTTCCTTGTTTGATTTTTGGATTCTCTTCTTATTTTAAAATTTTTATTTTCTAAATAAATTAAAAGAAACTAAAATCACCTGAAAAATAAACAATAGAGTTAATTTTAAAATGTCACTGAGTAATTAAAAACTAATCAGAAATTATTTTTGTTTGAT